AAGTCAGCTGTGGAACCAGGAGGACTCCTAAGTTGCGGAACCTATCTGAGTGGTATAAATTTTGACCCCCCAGCCTAAGCGTTGGTGTATTAGCCAAATTATTGGGGGGAACTTTGCTCCCACAATCCAGCAAATGAGCTCTGTGCTGAATGTAGCTCTTTAAAAGTTGCTGAGTTCAGCTCAAAACTGTCTTATACTTCAGAGTTTTGCCACTTTGCCCCGTTGGGAGGAAATGAATTCTGAATATCAAATTTCCATCCTTTATTTTGATAGAAATCCTCTCTGTGTATTGAAGGATGGATAAATCTGCCTTTTACCGTTATTCTCAAATCACCCAGAGAGTACTTAATTAAGAGCACTTAATATAAATTATGAAGCCGTTTTTTTCCTTTTAACTTTTCTGTGAGGGAGCGATGTGCAGTGCAATTTTATACATGCCTACTCAAACGTAATTCCACTTGCATTTAATGAAATTTATTGGGACCAGTTGGTTCTGAAGTAGGTAGATAGGTAGATTTAAACTGAAGAAAGAGGGAGAATAGTATTTTTCTTTTGAATGTTGCTTTTCTTAAAGAATACTTAGTTTTTAACCCAGCTGCATGGGAGCAACTAACAGACTTTAGCCTTAAAAAATGGAAAAGTATTTAAATTTTATAGCTGTAGGCAAGAATGGAAATTATTTCCTTGAAGAAGGCAATGGCAAACCACTTCTGTATCGTTGCCAAGAAATTATATGAACCTCTGTGAACAGTCGTCAAAAGTTGAGCTGAGTTTGAGGTGACTTTATCAAATTTATTGGGGACTACAAATAGATGAAAGCCAATTTGCTATAGTTGTTAAGATGCCAGACTAAAAAATGAGGGAGCTGAATTCTAGTTCCTTCTTCGTTAAAAATCTAGCTGGGTGACCTTGGGCCAGTCACACTTTCAGCCATAGGAAGAAGTCAAGGGTAAACAACTTCTGAAAATTTTGCCAGGAAAATGGCATGGACTTGTAGCCAGGAGTCAAGAATGACTTGACACAAAGCAATCAGTATATAAGGCTCTTCCATTTCCTGGTTTTGTATGTGTGTGTGTGTGTGTGATTTGGTTGTCTTTTTCTTTCTATCTTGTCTTCCATCCCTTCCCCATCCCTGTGTAGAGGGAAAGATCACTTTAGAGACTCATGAAAAAAGCACTTCTGGACACTTCCAAAATGAAGCTGTCTCCACTTCTGACCTCAAGGAATGAATAGCTCAGTCCACGGTATAAACAGCGCAATACATTCCAGCGAGAATGAGAAATAACATATGAATAAACTTAAATGAGTGTGTGTTATTCTGGAATAATGACTGTTAAGATGTTTTGACCTTGGGTTCCTCTTGTAACTAAGAAATTGTGTGTGTGTGTGTGTGTGTGTGTGTGTGTGTGTGTGTGAGAGAGAGAGAGAGAGAGAGAGAGAGAGAGAGAGAGAAATTAGAAATGCCTATTCCTTTTAGGCAAAACTTGTCATTTTCCTTTTTCTACTGAGAGATTGTAATTTATAAAAAATACCATATTTATTGATTATATTGTAGAGCAAAGATCTAAATATATGTATATATATATAAAAATTTATTAAAAGTTTGGTGCCTAAGATTATAAATTATATGTTTTGGACAATGGTGATGGGAAAAATTAAAAGTAATATTCACTAGCGATGGGACATTGAATTTTCTTCGGAAATCTTTATTTGCCACTTTTCAATCTTCACAAGCACAGGGGAGTTTTGAATGGCATTCAATTCTGGGGCACCTTTGGGTGGAAAAGGTATTTTTTGCTTATCCTTTTCGGAAATAAAAGTTGCCTTTGAAATCTTCAGTTTTGAGTGTTCATTGTGTATGTGGGGAATCATTTACTTTTGAATAAAGATGACTCGGGATTTTTGCTCCAAGCAACTTGACTGCTTTGGAGTTACAGCAGGGGTGAAATCCAGCAGGTTCTGACAGGTTCTGGAGAACTGGTAGTGGAAATTTTGAGTAGTTCGGAGAACTGGCAAATGCCACCTCTGGCTGGCCCCAGAGTGGGGTGGGAATGGAGATTTTGCAGTATCCTTCTCTTGCCATGCCCACCAAACCACGCCCACCAAGCCACACCACGCCTACCAAGCCACGTCCACAGAACCGGTAGTAAAAAAAAAATTGAATTTCACCACTGAGTTACGGCCACTGCTGATGTGACTTCTGTAGTCTTCCCCTTCTGCCTTTTACAAGCCGACAAGAAAACCTACACTTTTCAGTAGGTTTTCTGTTCATTGGTAGCAGCCCTTGTCAGCTACCCATTTGAACAGGTCATGTACCTGTTCTCCTTAGTTTCTGTTTAAAATAAATGGATTAATAGAATTGTACTAGATCAAGTGATATGTACTATAAAATTTGTTTATGGGGGGGAAAAAGCAGGATGGAACTTTGTTTATGTCTGCATGGCAAACAATAGGTAGGGCTACTTCAGATGTGTGTGGACAAATGGACAACAGGAAATCAGAACTGGCTGTAGTGGTTAATTATGTCTCATAAAACTAAAGCGCAGGAAATCATATTTAATGTAAATTTGATCCAATATGTTTTGAAATATGAATGTCAATTTCCAGTATTCTGTTAAGTAGATGTTC